AACTCACGGCAGCATCATGTTCCCGGATACTGTGAGGTACCAGTATGCCTGCCAATTGACTTTATTTGATTGGAGCAGACACAAGACATGAAAAAACGGGTCACCCTGGAACAAACCTTCTCGCATTTTACTCTGTTGATTATGGTGCTGCCTCCCTAACCTACCGTCTCATGTGCTACTGGGTCCTTCTATTAAGTGCTGCGAGTATTCCATCTTGAAATACAGACTATCTGCACTGCACTCCCCTCTTTACCCTGTTCTGGGTAATCTAAGCATTCCCATTGGACTCCTCTGTGGGACCATTCCACAAACTTTTTGAGGGCAATATCAACCAAACTTTGCACTTCCTTGCTAACAGTCAGTGGCCTACCCTTGACATCCTCACCTCGACGACAGGGCCTTTTAAATTGACAACTTGGAAGACCTTCCAATTAGGGCATGTTATAGAGTCCTTACCTCCCCTAAATCTTTTCTGAAACCACTTACACATTTTGAGACCCTATGCTCCACTAAGGTTCCATTCAGACACTCTCTTCCCATAGCCTATGCCCTGCTCTTCCAACCGCAGGAACATTACAAAGCTCCTTTCCTTCTCAATGGGCACAGGATTTATAAATAATTTTCTCTCCCTCACAATGTCAAAGGATACTCCGTTTCTCCCTAAAATCCTCTATAAACTCTAGACTCCAGGAAACAACTAATTATAAAATGCCATCAAGGTGGTACAGAACCCCTTCTGTCCTGCATAAAATCAACCCCGATACTCCTATTAGCTTGTAAGGGATTTCCGGCAAAGAGAATCGCGATCGGGAACGCGCATGCGCAAAAGAGATTCCGCAGAAGAGCTGCCGGTTATGCGCATGCGTGCAGGAATGCACGATCGCGCACATGCACGCACAGGTGCACACGCACGGCGAAGATTGGCGCCAGATGGGCTATTTAAAGGGGGTCTCTGCTCTGGTTCAGTGCTGACTGGTCTTCAGCTCCCCGTGTCCTGCTTACTCCTGTACGATTCCTTTGTTGCTGACCCGGCTTGTTCCTGACCCAACTCCAATTACTCTCCTGCTCCTGGTTCCTGACTTCGGCTCTGCTCCTGACTTTGGCTTTTCCTACTGATTCTGTACCGTGCTGCCCGACTGTTGATGACCCTGGCTATCCTATGACCCAGCTCCTGTCCTGTGTCCTGGCTACCTACATTGTTCTGCTGCACATCGGGCATTACCCAGAACCTACTCTGTCTGCTACTACAGTACCCAAATCAGAGGATACTCTGCCTACCAAGGTCATCATCTGCAAGAGCCGCAAGCAACAACCACTCGCGCTCTTGTCCCCCTGGTCCCTAGACTCCCTCTGTTCCAACCTCAGCGGGGTCAGGGCTAGTGACACAAGTGAGGCCGACCTCGTCAATTCAGTCTCCTATCAGGTACATGACATAGCTGTTGGTGTTGTCACTTGAAGACTGGCTCACTCCAAATATTTTATTCTTGCCCAAAATTGACTCCTTTCTGGACGAAGGTACAAGAAATCTCCCAGAAAAAATCATATATATTACACTTTCAGATAATCCAGCTTTCTTGCTACTTCATCACTCCTCAATTCCTGCCAAAACGTACGCAAAATCTATCCCCATCTATTGAATGCTGCTAAATCATGCATTCCCCCAAAATGGAAAGACACTAAATTCTCCTTTGGTCTCACTTTGGTAATGTAAAGCTGATGACATTTTTAGTATAGAAGACCGTATTCTCCTCCCAAAATAAACATGAAATCATCAAGAAAACCTGGTTTTACTGACTAGACTTCACATTTTCAGAGGACGGTAAAGCCCTCATGTTTGAGAACGCTTGACTCTGCTCTTTATCTGAGCTGCAACCTGAGGGGCTTGCTTTTTTTTTTTTCTCTTTTTCCCTATAATGCTCTATTCCTTCTCCCCTTATCTTCGGTTAAATGGTTTGTCATTTCCCCCTGTCCATTTTATACCATGCCCCTTCTATTTATCTCCCTGCCTTGGATTCTTTTTACCTGCCCATTTTGATCACTCATTGGTTATTTTACTCCCAGATAGTTCAAGTTATTTCTGATTGAACCTACAGTATAATCAATGCAAATGTAAGGAAATAGGCGACACATGGAATCTGCAGGCCAAAAGTGCATGTCATAATAAATCCAGTAATAGGAATCCAATGGTGAAGGGAATGGAGCAGTCTGAATACCAGGGAAGACTGTGGTAGAGTGAAGCCGACTCTAATGTGGAGGAAACATAGGAAGAAACACAGCACCTCTAAGTGTAGACTGTGATGAAAGTTTAATGGTTAAAAAGTAAGTAGACAACTCACATGTTCATGGATAAATTACAGGCTCATCATTAATAAAGATGCTCAGTCCACCTCATCACCAAGATGGTGAGCCACAGTGGAATATACCACAGTAGGACGATGGAGAGTGGTTAACGTGGAGGAGATCGCCGGGATGTACTCCACTGTGGGATTCTGAGCATCGGCATCTGATGTCATCCAAGTGCGACGCATTTCTGAGCATATGCAAGGTCCGACGTAGACCAGCGTGCTCCTTTCTCAAGCATGAGATGCTTGACAAAGGAGCGCGCTGGTCTACGTCGGACCTTGCGCATGCTCAGAAATGCGTTGCACTTGGTTGACATCAGACGCCGACGCCACCGCTCGGAATCCCACAGCAGGCCGCCACAACAGAGTACATCCCAGTAATCTCCTCCACCTGAACTGCTCTCCACCGTCGTACTGTGATATATTCCACTGCGGCTTACCATCTTAGCGATGAGGCAGACTGAGCATCTTTATTAACGATGAGCCTGTAATTTATCCATGAACATGTGAGCTGCCTACTTACTTTTTAACCATTAAACTTGTATCACAGTCTACAGTTAGTGGCGCAGTGTTTCTTCCTCTGTAATCAATGCAAAACCTGATCTGTACACCCGTGTTTGTATACCCTTTTTGGTGTATTTTGTAAGCCTTGATATTTTTTTGAAAAGAAAGAAATAAGGAATAACACACAAAAAAAAAAAAAAAAAAAAAAAAAAAAATTGCTTCAGACACAAAGTAAATATGTAAGCAACGTTTTGGTACCAAGATCAGAGAAAAAAAGATCTACATTCACAAATGAAAAACATTTTTAACAAATCTTCAACAATAAAAAAAAAACTAAAAACTACATATTTTAGCATATTTCAATACACAATTACTATTTATTTCTTGAAAGTAATGGACTAGAATGTAAAATCTAAAATGTGCAAAAGTGTGAGCATCCGGTCAGTCAGCATTTGGCAGGACTCTATAACCCAACAGCATCTTCTAGGTACTTTTTACAGCATGTCTTCCTCTTCCTTGACACATCAGATATGCTCCAATGTTATTTTGCCAGGTCTCAGATCTAGCCACAGATGAATTTTTTTCAGCCTTAGGTCATTAGTAGTAGTTGATTAACATCTTGCTAAACAAAATTTAGCTTCTTTTCAGATTCAATTAGCATTAAAGATCCGCTAATCCCATTCTTCCATATATCTGCACGATATTCCTGCATACTTAACTGACACACAATTTGAAGATAACAGTTGCAAACCCATAGCTGACATCTGCAAATGTGTTCTTTGCTTCTCTCATTACCATCATGGTCTTTGCTGAAGAGTTCTACTTATGTTTCATTTAAAACAAAGCACTTGGTTCTAGTATACGTCATGTTTATCTTAGTGCTGTGCTCCATACTTCAGATGTTAACTTTTGAGACAGATAAATGGCTATTCCATGCAGTTTACGTTTGTGTAGGTAACACTGCACAGTGGTCTTATGCATCCCTTCTCCTGTGACATCCACACCTTCCTCCAGATGTGCTCTAGTGATATGGGAGCTTTGCATACCTTAGTGGTATAGCTCAGATATTTTTAGCCTTCCAGGTCTCTGTTCATTAGCTGCCCTCAACTACCGATTTAATAGCATTCCATATAGTGTAAGATGGAAGCAGTAAACTATCTTTTTTTTCACATATTTCCTTTATGTCCAGATATTCAACTGCTTAGTAAAATATATGGCTATTGGGTATAGCCTCAATGCCCTGAGCGACCTGATTTGTATTTACACAAAGGTGTTAAAAGATACTTTATGTAAACCCAGTAGCTAACATATCATATGTTAATGTCATTTAAAAAGTATTTGTTTTTTTTTTTTTTTTTGTTTGTTTTTCAATCTGCAGCATTTATTAACATAATACCTGGTCATCCTGCCATCACGTTCCTTGTTTAGACACTTCCTGGTATAAGGTGACCACTGTCTCCCAGTTGTGATCCTGTGTTGTCATACTGTCACGTGTGCCCCTGGAGGACACAAAAAGTGGCCATGCCAACACATAATGTGCTCGCATGATCCACTGCTGTCAATATCAGGAATCTGATCCAGAAAAATGATGTGCAGCGGACAGTGTGGTGAGTGCATGTAGACAGGAAGTGACTAAAAAAGCTGGAGGAGATCAGCAGCACTGGCAATTATTTATCAAGCACATTGGTTTGGCAAACTAACTGTAATCTAGTTAGGGTTTCGATAATCTACTTTAGGTTTTGGGACTTTACAAGTGTGCCCAAACATTTGAGTGTGTTAAAATCTGCAAATAATTAGTAACTGTTTAACATTTTCACAAACGTTTAACAGCTATGTTTTGTTCCTTAAACCGACTGTGTTAACAGAGCCTGTATTTTTACAGAAAAAAATCTTATGCCCAAGGGTGCCTACATTTATATTAGGCTGTACATACTGTATGTGTGGAACTGAACTGATTTTGTGATTTCTTTCAGTTAGGTCTAAAGTGTAGGAAATATGACAACAATTCTGTATCACAACTATATGACAATGCAGACTCTATACTACACTGAGTACAACATTTCTAATATATGCACAACTGAGGATTCTTGGTATAAAACCCATGTAGGTAGCTGTATCATAGTTCATAATGAAAGAGGTAAGCATGTTTGGTACCTTTTCTTTAGTTTTTCCTCTCTTTCCCTTCCTCTGCTTATTTCCTGCTGTAGAAAGCCGCTGTTCATCTTTGCCATCCCCCTGTTTTAATGGTGCTTGCTCACTACTGTGCGTATCCTCAGCTGCTGAAATGCTGGCCTGAAACAATTATAATATCTATAAATTGTATCTCATATACAGTATATGTAAAAAAAAATTAGGATCTATTAAACTGCAGTTTATTCATTAAAACTTGAAAACAGAAAACAAGGCAAATGTCTCAGTGTTTGCCCAAAGTGACCAATCAAAATTTGTGTTTAAATTTTCCAGAAAGTGAAAGGTGAAACTTGCTAGGTTGCTACTGGCAACAACTGCAGTTGTACGCTCATTTTCTTCTGTCCAGTTTTAAAGCATCAGGTGCAATACGTTGCAGATGCAGTGGGGAAAACAATTTTTTGATCCCCTGCAGATGTTGTAAGTTTGCCCACTTACAAAGAAAAATCCAGAAAAAACACATGATACAAATGTTGTGAATTGAGTTGCAGTTCAGCGAGTAAAATAAGTATTTGATTCCCTACCAACCAACAATAATTCTGGCTCCCACAGACTGGCAATGTGCTCATGTGGTACACAGATTAGTCCTGTCAATTTAAGAAGGTGTTCCTAACAACAACTTGTTATGTGAATAAAAGACACCTGTGCACAGAATCTCTCTTTCTTTCATTCAAACCTCACAACCGTGGGCAAGACCTGCACAAGGCTGGAATGGGCTACAAGACCATCAGTAAGAAGCTTGGTGAGAAAGGAGACAACTGTTGGAGTGATTATTCACAAATGGAAGAAATACAAAATAGCCATCAATTTCCCTCAGTCTGGAGCTCTGTGCAAGATTTCGCCTCATGGGATAAGGATGATCATGAGAAGAGTGAGAGATCAGCCCAGACCTACATGGGGGGAGCTATGAAAGATTTCAAGGCAATTGCAACCACAGTCACCAAACAAATCATTGGTAACACAATAAGCCGTCATGGATTGAAATCCTGCAGTGCCTGCAAGGAACATGTACAGGCCCGTCTGAAGTTTTCCAGTGAACATCTAAATGATTCAGCGAAGGATTGGGAGAAAGTGCTGTAGTCAGATGAGACCAAAATTGAGCTCTTTGGCATTAACTTGACTCGCTGTGTTTGGAGGAAGAAAAATTCTGACTATGACCCTAAGAACACCATCCCTACAGTCAAGCACAGAGGTGGAAACATTATGCTTTGGGGCTGTTTCTCTGCTAAAGGTACAGATCGTCTTTGCCGCACTGAGGGGTCAATGGATGAGGCCATGTATTGTTAAATATTGAATGAGAACCTTCTTTCCTCAGCCAGAACACTGAAGATGGGTCATGGAAGGGTCTTCCAGCATGACAATGACCCAAAATACCACCAAGGCAACAAAGGAGTGGCTCAAGAAGCACATTAAGGTCATGGAGTGGCCTAGCCAGTCTCCAGACCTTAATCTTATAGAAAATGTATGGAGGGAGCTGAAACTTCGAGTTGCCAAGTGACAGCCAAGAAACCTCAAGAATTTAGAGAAGATCTGTAAAAAAGAGTGGACCAAACTCCCTCCTGAGATGTGGGCAAACCTAGCAACCAACCACAAGAAACATCTTACCTCTCTGCTTGCCAACAAGGGTTTCTCCACCAAGTATTAAGTCATGTTTTGCTTGCAGATCAAATATTTATTTTACTCACTGAACTGCAACTTAATTTATAACATTTGTATCATGTGTTTTTTCTGGATTTTTGGTTGATATGCTGTCGCTATCATTTAAAATACAACTATGATAAAAAATTTTAGACCCTTCATTTCTTTGTAAGTGGCCAAACTTACAATATCTGCAGGGGATCAAGTAATTATTTATCCCACCGTATAGGAACAAAAAAAATATATATAGTTCTGGTCTGCTAGAAATATACAAGAGCATAAAGCATCATGAGACCGTTAAAATGTCAAACAAGATTACAGTACAATTCATACTTTACTATCTGCTATGTCCTCTCTTGGCACAGACTGGGCTCTCCTCTCCTCCTTCATTTTCTCCCTCTTCTTTCTTAAACTTCTGCCACGGCTAAAACGCAGGACCTAGGGAAATATTTATATAATGTCTATTATGCTTTTCTAAAACCATATGACGTTGCCAGGAATATATTATACATTCATAGAGAATAATGGTTTGTTTAAATCAGAGCTTTTTTTGGTCAGAGAATAGGTGCAGAATTTCATCCTCTTCGCCGCCCGAGTGCTATATGTGCTATGTGTGTCATAGGGTGGGTGTGGCCAAAACAGTCGTCTTAAAGGGGCATTGTCCACAACTCACCACCTGTGAACCACTGTCCCGAGCTCACCTTTGCATTCCGCCATCCACAACTCACCTTCGCAACCCCTGTCCACAACTGTCTCCACTGCTCTTCTGCCCACATCTCATCTCTGCACCCCTATCCACAACTCATGTCTTCACCCCCTGTCCACAACACACCTATGCACCTCTCTGTTTGAAAATCACCTCTGAACCCCCCCCCACCTATCACTAGCCACAGCTCACCTCTGCACTCCCTGATCACAGCTAACCTCTGCTACCCCAACCATAACGGTCTGCAGCGCTCTTCTATATCTACCTGTCCACAACTCACTGTGCACTGCCTGATCGCAGCTAAGCTCGGCTCCCCCATCCGCAACTCACCTCCACACCCCCTGTCCGTGACTCAACTCTGCAGACACCCCCCATCCACAGCTTACCTCTGCACCTCCTGACAAAAGCTCCCCTCCGCACACTGTACCCCTTGCACAGCTCACCTCTACACCCTTAGCCATAGCTCATCCCTGTTCACAGCTCAACTCTGTACCCCTTTTCCACAACTTATCTTTGCAGTCTCCGCAACCCCACACCCCTCACCCCCAAACAGCTAAACTCTGCAGCCATCTTCCACAGCTTACTTCTGCATACCTCTTCAGCTCTGACCTCTGCAGTCCACAGCCCTTACCTTTGCACCCCCTTCCCTCTCTACTGGCTTGCTTACCTCTCAGAGCACAAATGCTTGTTTACTCACACAGTGCGCTATCACTTGTGGCTCCCCTTCTCCCCATTTAGCATCAGTGGCAGCAAGACCATTGCGCAGGGGTGTTGGCATCCGAGCACTGGGTGGCAGTCCTGCCTCACTCCCATAAACACACAATGCACTGGGTCAGCTGTTCCTCCCTTGTTCCAGCCCTCATTGCAGGGGCAGGGAGGGTTCTGTGGGAGCCAGTTATTGGTAGATATTGCTATAGTCATAAGCTGGGTAGAAGATTTTTGATTGCTTGCTGTGTATCTTGTGCTTGGACACGGTCCTAGCTTTCTAATCTGCATTTGTATATGCATTGCTTTTAAGGGTCATGTCACTCAACGATCCTGTGGCTTGAGACAATTCACCAGCAACCAGATCGCTTAAAAGACCACTTACCTGTTTATATTGAGTAGCTCCCATGCTAGCTGGATTAGTGAGATTTTGTCGCTGCTCGCTCACTAGTGAGGGAGATTTGGCAGCATTCCAAGCCAAAGAGAAAGTGATTCAGCAGTATGTGTAACATGGCCCCAACACTACATCTGATCACTTCTTGTAAAATGTGTCCACTTTATGTTTAATACCAAGGTGTTTTTTTTAGCCACATGTTACTCAGTCTGAAATAAAAGTACACTGGAAGATGTCCATATGTTGAAAATCGCTGGTCTACATTAATGATTCCCACTGCAAAAAAAGGTTTAAACTCCAGCCAGATGTAAAAACCAGCCACATTAATGCAATTTTGTATCCTGTGAGTTTGACCGGGTATCAGCCTCTCACAGTTCTTGTACAACAGGGCTCAGAGGAAAAGCCAGAATGAGAAAGATTAGCTCATCAATCTGCAGGTCTCCTTTCACTATCCAGTCACCCGTCAGGTACCAGACCTGTAGGAGATAGGAATCAGTTCTTTTGCCCTGCCAGACAGGGCTGTGCTGTGTGGCAGAGCTATGTAAAATCCCAAGACTGGCTAGACAGAAATATAAATTCTTTTCAGGTACTATATGTATTTCAACTGTGTAATTTAAATATTTAACTGTAGTTCAGCTTTAAGCTACAATACTGTTGACTTGGCTAAACTATAACCTTACATTCATAGTTGAACATTTCTAATGTCTAAATTTCATTAAATAGTCTAAAACATAGTATATATAGTACAGGCTGTTTGACAATCACACATTGAAGCAAGCAACCCAGTATCAGGAATAGCAACCAAACAGCTTCCATCTCCTGTGTTTCTAATGCAGATCTGAAAATAAAAAGTGAAAGGTGAATGGTTGCTATGGGCAGCAAAGAACGTGTTATCACAGTATACACTAGAAGGATTATTATTATACTAGATTTGTATAGCACCAACAGTTTGTACAGCACCTTATGATACTTCATAACCATATCTTGAACCTAAATTTCAGGATCAGTTGCTTCAATCTCGGCATTTAGAGTTTCTACATTTCATACATCTGTGTTGTTCTATATCACTTTAATCCCATTATATTTTGGTATGAGAAAACGCCAAAAATTCTAATTAAATGCTAAAAATCTGAGTAACTTATTAGGGACTTAGGCCAGTGGTTCTAATCCTTTATAAAACCAGGGCCCAGTAGATTCTTTCAAAATCTTCCATGCCAACAGTAAAAAACAAAGTTTACATTAACACAATAAAAATAGGGGAATGCAAAATATGCACTGCAATGTTGGAATTCTGTGGGTGGGACTGAGTGTCACTATGGGAGGGAAGATTAGGGCTTTGGAGTGGGTTAGGGGGCTCTGCAGTAGACTTGGACCTGTACATGATGAGTTTTCTATAGAGGACTATGAGCACTGTGGGACACTGTTGAAAATTTGGGGTACTATGGAGAGCTGGAGGCTCTGCAGTAGGCTGGGGAGGGGGGGGGGGCACTGTGGGGGTAAGGGGCAGTGGAAGTTGAAGGCTCTCAGGGGGCCTGGGGGCACTGTGGGCCACTATGAGATATTAGGAAGCACTATGGAAACTGGGAGGCGCTGTGGGAGGTTAGAAGATCTGCAGCTGGCTGGAAGCTCGGGAGAAGGGGGGCTGTGGCCTGACAGTTGAGAACCACTGAGTTAAGCCGGCCATACATGGGTCAAATTCTGAAAGAATTTTCGTTCAAATTTCACAACGTTAGTGGGCCACAGAAACGGAAGCTTTTCTTGTAACCATCAAATTTGAGTGATCGGGCATGTTGGAAATTTTTTCAAAAACGAACGAATTTCGAATCAATGATAGGAGAATCATGCCAGAAATATAAACGAAAAAGAAATAAGCCTGAGCTGTGACTGGTAAAGAAAAGAAAATTCTTGGCCATGAGAATTCTTTTCTGTAGCAACATGAGGTGAAATTGAAGGCTTGGTTGGTCGAATATTGAAATGAATGGTGGCACCATCAGATTACAAAATGCGCAAAATTTCTGATTTTCTAAAGAAAATTAGTTCGGAATTTGACCCATGTATGGCCTGCATCAGGCCTGCATTAGTATGCACGTATAGAATATGTATTACAGAAAGTGTGCTTTTAGGATACATGCACACTGGGCGTGTATTGTTGTGACCAGGAGACACAGGTTCAGCGTTCAGCCCTGCTCAAAATATTTGACAGGCTGAAATAGGCTGTGGTACTCACATTTAGGGCTGTACACATTCAAGGACACATGCACAAAACCTGCATTCAGGGCATACATCCCTGAACACATATGGCCCTAAACACAAGTACCACTTGGTGCTGCATACAGCAGCATCCAGCCACCACATATTTCAGACCATCATAGGTTTTGAAAGGCTGTAGCAGTCTAGGCAAAAGTGCCTAGACTTGATGCACATGGGATAAACACCAAAAATCCTGAAATAACCTTTTGCATACTGCCATACACCCATACATATTTGTAGCAAACATTTGCATAAAAAACATGGATTTCGATTCACTTGCAATATATGTTTCAGCTGCATCAAAGTAAACCCTCTCTGGCCAGTCTTTACTCTCCTATCCAATCCAAATTGACAAATACTTACTTTGCTGAAGCACTGTGCATTTGTGCCAACATGAGGCATGCAGACACAGTTGGAGAAGAGCTACAGACTCAGGTCTGCTCTTTGTGGCCAGCTTGAACATGTAAATATGTATGTCAGTGTGCAATAGGTTAATTCAGAATGTTTGGTGTTAATATGCGGTCACACCCCTTTAGCACCTGTTGTGTTTTATATATTTTATTTATATGTAAGCTATTTGGATTTGAGCATAGACATATGCATTTTTATTGCAAATGGGATAAATGCCGGGCAGCACAGTGGCTAAATGGTTAGCACTTCTGCCTGGCAGTACTTGGGTCGTTGGTTCGAATCCCAGCCACGGCACCACCTGCCTGGAGTTTGCATGTTCTCCCTGTGCCTGCGTTGGTACTCCGGTTTCCTCCCACACTCCAAAGACATGCTGGTAGGTGAATTGGCTCCTGTCTAAATTGGCCCTAGTATGTGTATGTATGAATGTGAGTTAGGGACCTTAGATTGTACACCCCTTGAGGGTTAGGGACTGATGTGAATGTGTAATACATATGTAAAGCACTGCGTAAATTGACAGCGCTATATAAGTACCTGAAATAAATAAATGCCTAATGTACACAAGGCTTAAGGTGTACCTGAAACTAATAGAGAAATGAATGGCTCAGAGTCAGGTTAACTGTAAGATTTCCAAGATCCATTGTAGTAAGTGACCATATATTTTGTTTGTGTTTATTTGGCAGTAGCATAATAATTAATACCATCATTTTTCTAGAGACATTTAAAACCTTCCCAGTTATCATTCTGTCAGTAAGTTGTTAAAGCAGAATAATAACAAAATCAGCTTTTGTAGCAAAATACACCTTCAACCAGAGGTTTCCTCCCGCAGGGTTTTGTTCTGCTACTAGATGTCCTCAGACAGATGGTCATTACCATTCAACCCACTTCATCTGGCTCAGATCATCATGTACCTGCCCCAGCTTGTGATTGGAAAGTGAATGGAGAAGCAGCACAGTGATCAGCTCATCTCTGTCACTCTGCTTTCTCTACCTATCGGCATGCTTCTTGGCAGCCAATACCAGGTCAAAGTCCTTACACTGTTTGCATTTTAAAAACAGATTTATGATCTATTAATGAATACAGAGCTGCATGTGTCTTTCATATCTGTATGGAGTTTGCCTTTAATATTTATACAGTACTTACCTGTGGTGCTTTAGTAAGGAGAAGGGCTACGTCTGAATTATTGTGGTGTCTTGCTGTGTCCAATGCAATCTGGCCTGCCTGTATATAAAAATTTCATTGAAAATTCTATAAATAAAAAACAAATAAAAATTGGAACATTGTTTCCCCAGCATGCACCACTGCAATGTTTTCCTCTCCAGCAACCATGACTCATGCCTTCAACCTTCATTGTAATAATGTCATTCTCTAAGAAGGCATGGATACTCTGCAGACTGTACGTCAGAGGAGGAAGCAGGTCTAATGCAATTCTTGCTCATTAATGCGTCCAGATCCTGACAGTTGTTACTTCAGGTGAAGTCCTCTTTTCAAGTAATTATACATTTCTACATCTCTCTGATCATAAAAGCAAGTGTTAAGAATAACAGTTTGTACTGTGCCATGATTACGTATTAAAAAATTTAATCCCAAGCAATACCCACTGATCCGCTATCTCACACTGGAGTTTGCTTTGTATAACCTTCCCAGTCAAAATGTCACGTTCTTCTGTAACAAAAGTCTATCACACTACCCCCAGTATATAATTCGTAATATACACACATTATTAGTTAGTAATATAGACTCACATTATTAAGAAGAGCAGCATCAGCTCCAGCTTCCAAAAGCACTTTGATAACTTTCCTATGATTGAGAGCTGCAGCAACATGGAGTGGCGTATCACCAGCCTAAACAACACACAATTCAAAAAATGTTCAATCTAAAGCTGTCAGTACCTCCAAAATGTATCTATTATATTGTGCAATAGTCCTCAGATTAGTAGCTGTCAATGTGTTTGGGTACTAAGGGTACTGCTATAGAAGAAAATTACATTTTATTTCATAGATCTGCTATCAACAAGACTAATATTATAGTATTGGAAGATGGCTGTGCCTAAAGATGAAAAATAAAAAAAAATACAACTGAGCCCAAGGGCCTTGACTAGAGAACTGCTTTGATCACTGACATTAGTTAACTCTTAACTGATGGGTCTATGAACTGACCTGGTTCTTCTCATTGACAGAACAAAAAGCGCTGAGTAGTATCCTGATGACAGACAAGTGATTGTAGCGCGCTGCAACATGTAAACAGGTATCTCCTGCCTGAAAATCATATTAATATATTTAATAAATCTGGCTACATAGGTTGTGTACACTCACATATTTCATTTACATGCAGTTGTAGATACAATATTGTATAGATACAGTGGATATAAAAAGTCTACACACCCCTGTTAAAATGTCAGGTTTCTGTGATGTATAAAAATGAGAAAAAGATAAATAATTTCAGAACTTTTAGCACCTTTAATGTAACCTGTAAACTACAACTCAGTTGAACAACAAACTGAAATATTTTAGGTGGAGGGAAGTAAAATAAAAAACTAAAATAATATGGTTGCATAAGTGTACACAACCTTAAACTAATACTTTGCTGAAGCACCTTTTGGTTTTATTACAGCACTCAGTCTTTTTGGGTATGAGTCTATCAGCATGGCACACCTTGACTTGGCAATATTTGCACAGTCTTCCTTGCAAAAACTCTCCAAATTTGTCAGATTGTGAGGGAATCGCCTGTGCGCAGCCCTCTTCAGATCACACCACAGATTTTCGATAAGATTCAGGTCTGGGCTCTGGATGGGCCATTCAAAACTTTAATCTTCTGGTGAAGCCATTCCTTTGTTCATTTGGATGTATGCTTTGGGTCGTTGTCATGATGAAAGATGAAGTTCCTCTTCATGTTCAGGTTTCTAGCAGAAGCCTGAAGGTTTTGTGCCAATATTGACTAGTATTTGGAACTGTTCATAATTCCCTCCACCTTGGCTAAGGCCCCAATTCCAGCTGAAGAAAAACAGCACCAAAGCATGATGCTGCCACCACCATGCTTCACTGTGGGTATTGTGTTCTTTTGGTGATGTGCAGTGTTGTTTTTGTGCCAAACATATCTTTTGGCCAAAAAGTTCAACCTTGGTTTTATCAGAACATAACAAATTTTTCCGCATGCTTTTGTGAGACTTCAGATGTATTTTTGCTGGGCTTGGATGTTTTTCTGCATAAGAAAAGGCTTCCAATCTTGCCACTCTACCCCATAGCCTAGACATATGAAGAATACGGGAGATTGTTGTCACATGTCCCACATAGCCAGTACATGCCAGATATTTCTGCAGCTCCTTTAATATTGCTGTAGGCCTCTTGTCAGCCTCCCAGACCAGTTTTCTTCTCGTCTTTTCATCAAATTTGGAGGGACTTGGTAATGTCACTGTTGCGCCATATTTTCTCCACTTGATGATGACTGTCTTCACTGTGTTCCATGGTATATCTAATGTGAATGGTGGGACGGGTAGGGTGTGCCTGTCTCGCGGCACCCCCTGCCCGGAAATACAAAGTCACGTGTGTGTATATATATATATATATATATATATATATATATATATATATATGATTTTGTGCACCTGTGCCAGCTTATAGCAGTATTTCTGCTATAGAGTAGTTTGGAAGCGGTTAACAATGAGATGACTCTGATGGTTTGGAAGCTCTCTGCAGACCATGGCTTTTGCTGTAGGATGCAACTAAGAAAATGTCAGGAAAGACCTATTAGAACAGCTGAACTTTGTTTGGGGTTAATCAGAGGCACTTTAAATGATGGCAGGTGTGTACTGACTCCTATATAACATGATTTTGAATGTGATTGCTTAATTCTTAACACAGCTATATTTCCAGTTATAAGAGGGTGTGCACACTTATGCAACCACATTATTTTTTTTTATGTTTACTCCCCCCCAAAAAAGGTTTCAGTTTGTGTACACTTATGCAACCACATTATTTTAGTTTGTTATGTTTACTTCCCCCCAAAAAAGGTTTCAGTTTGTTTTTCAATTGAGTTGTACAGCTTATAGGTCACAATAAAGGTCGAAAAAGTTCTAAAATGATTTATCTTTGTCTCATTTTTTTTGCATCACAGAAACCTGACATTTTAACAGGAGTGTGTAGACTTTTTATATTCACTGTATATTTAACCAATTAGGTAAATCCTAATGCTTGTACACATAATTAGGAAAACACAAACATATTAATTAAGAAAAAAATAAAACCATGTGACATTTTTGCTTTCATGAAATCAATTTAAAACAAAGAATATTTAATTTAGCAAGATCTGTATACCAAATATTTCTAATTTTCCCAAATATAATAGCACATACCAAACTGTTATATACATTGGGTTTCTGAAAGTAACAATATGCCTTTCCCCAGAACAAAATTGTTGAAGCCAAAACACACTTTTGTGATCAAGTCTGTTGGGTTAACACGTTACATAGTTACATAGTTAGTCAGGCAATGCATTGATTTTCAAACAGTTTTATAACAATGTATGTGATTTTTGTTTGGGAAATGATATTCATTTCAAAATAGAATGTTAACAGCAAACAAGCTATCGGATGTACCAAGAATTTTCATAGGAAACTTTGCACATATTTTTGTTATAAAATTTACTAGTGTATACCTGGCTTAAAGCAGTATTAAACCCAGAAAAAAAGGAATTAAACTACAGCTCACCCTAGATGTGATGGCTCCATTAGTTTCCTTTTTTAGACTTTGTTCCATTATTTTCACCTGGTGATCCAGCTAGTAAGTCACATAGTTACATAGTTAGTCTGGCTGAAAAAAAGTCCATCTAGTTCAGCCATAAAAGGGAATAAAATAATTTATATCCTATACTCACAGTTGAGCCAGAGGAAGGCAAAAAAAAACAGCAAAGCATGATGCAATTTGCTTCTACAGCGGAGAACATTCCTTCCTGATCCCCCAAGAAGCAATCAGATATTCGCTGGATCAACTCTACTTATAAATGTTAGTGTCCAGTTATATTATGTGTATCTAGGAAAGCATCCGGACCTTTTTTTTATAGCAATCTACTGAGCTGGCCAGAACCAGGTCCTGAGGGAGTCTATTCCACATTTTCACAGCTCTTACTGTGAAGAAACCTTTCCATATTTGGAGATTAAATCTCTTTTCCTCCAGACGTAAAGAGTGCCCCCCTGTCCTCTGTGATGACTTTAAGGTGAATAACTCTACATCAAGTTCACTATATGGACCACTTTTGTATTTATATAGGTTGATCATATCCCCCCTTAAACTCCTTGGCGGTATTCCCGAGTGTAGCTCGGGGTAAAATTTCAGTACCACAAGCGGTATCCCCGAGCTACACTCGGGCTTACCATGCGGCGTTGCTCAGGGATTCCCTGCAGCGCTTACCTTGTCCTTCGCTCCCGCGATGTGTCCCCTGCAGCGTCCCCGGCCATCTCCTCCGGCCGATGCCGGCATCCGGCTTCCGTGTTCCGGTCCCTGAGAGCGTCGGGACGTACAGGATGTACAGGCGCCGGAACCGGCGGAAAATTAAAAAATTTTAGAAACGAAAATGACATAGTAAAACATTACTGTTTCAAACCATTTCACATACATTTTGTCCCTACTGCTTTGTTCTGTGCCCTGCCTGCATTTTGACTGTTCTTTCTGCCTGGAAACTTAGAAAAGTCCATGGCGTCCAAAGAGTGTCCCTTTAGGTCAAAAGCGGTTTTAGACCGGCTAGAGAACAGCAATAGTAAATTAGAACCACTTGCAGAATTGAGTGATGATTTGTGGGGAAATTTGTCATCAGACACTGAAAACAATTTTGCGACTTTGCTCAGTGATGTGCGAACTTGGCGCTATATTGCAAATTTCATTGTTTTTGGTTTGATTATATTATTGAATTAAATTTATTGTATTATTTTTTTATGATTATTTATTAAATTATAATTTACGATTTTGTGTTTCAAGTTTTATCCTACCCGGAATGTTTACTAGACTCTTGTTCGGACAGATTTCAGTGAGTTATTCCTAAAAATTACAGCCTACTACTATATAAAACGCCAAATTTCCATGCAAAATAATGGTACCGCTTTCAGCACCAAAAATCTGAAATAATCATACCACCAGGGAGGTTATTCTCCTCTTCTCAAGAGAATAAATTCAGTTCTTCTAATCTTTCCTTATAGCTGAGCTCCTCCATGCCTCTCATCAGTTTGGTTGCCCTTCTCTGCACGCTCTACAGTTCCCGATATCCTTTTCGCAAATTGGTGCCCAAAACTGAACTGCATATTCCAGGTAAGGTCTTACTAATGATTTGTACAGGGGTAAAATTATGTCCATCTCTCTGCAGTCTATACCTCTTTTAATGCAAGAGAGGATTTTGTTTGCTTTGGAAACCGCAACTTGACATTGCATGCCATTATTAGGCTTATGGTCTACCAGAACACCCAGATCCTTCTCCACCATCGACTTCCCCAGTTGAACTCCCCCCTAGTATGTATGATGCATGCAGAATTCCTAACCCATAACTTTGCACTTATCAACATTAAACCTAATTTGCCACACAGTTGCCCAATTTTAAACAATGCAGTGAGGTCAGCTTGTAAATTGGAGACATCCTCTAAGGATGTTATTCCACTGCATAGCTTGGTGTCATCTGCAAAGACTGAAATGTAACTTTTAATCCCAGATCCTAGATAGTTTATAAATATATTAAAAAGTAAGGGTAACACTGAACCGTGGGGTACACCACTGACAACCCTAGACCATTCAGAGTATGAATCATTAACCACTACTCTCTCAATTTGGTATTTTAGCAAGTTCTCTAACCATTTACAAACTGATTTTTCCAATCCTTCAGACTTTACTGTACACATCAGCGTTGTGTGGGGAACTGTGTCAAACTCTTTTTCAAAATCCATGTATACTATGTCCACAGGCACTACTCTGTACAAAGTTTTGCTCACCTCCTCATAAAAAGAGATCAGATTTGTTTGACAACTTCTGTCTTTCATGAATCCATGCTGTCTGTTGCTTCAAATATTTTTTTCCAGCAAGAACTCATCTATTATTTTATTAAACTCTCCTCCAGTATCTTCCCCACTATAGAAGTTAAACTAACAGGTCTATAGTTACTTAGAAAAGACGTTGATCCCTTTTTTAAATATAGGCACCACATTTGCCTTACGCCAATCTAGTGGTTCTAAGACAGTCTTTAAAGAGTCCCTACAAATTAGAAACAATGGCTTTGAAATGACAGAGAATAATTCTTTTAGGACCCGTGGGTGTATCCCATCCTGTCCAGGTGCTTTATTCACCTTTATTCTGTCTAAATATTTCTGGACCATATCACTTTGGAGCCAATATGGATTAGTTTGGACTATGTCAATACCATGTCCATTATGGACATGAGCTCCCCCATGCTCCTTTGTATACACAGAGCTGAAGAAGGTATTTAACCACTTGCCCTCTAGAGGATTTACCCCCCTTAATGACCAGGCCTCTTTTTGCTACTGGGCACTGCACTAATTCTACTGATAATTGGGTGGTTATGCAATGCTGTACCCAAACAAAATTTGTCATTTTTTTCACACAAATAGAGCTTTCTTTTGGTGGTATTTGATGAATGTGCGCTTTTTATTTTTTGCGCTATAAACAAAAAAAGACCGAATATTTTTAAGAAAAACAATATTTTTTCTTTTGGCTATAAAAAATATATAGTAAACTCAAAGTTGGATATAAATTTAGGCCAAAATGTATTCTGCTACATGTTTTTGGTTAAAAAAATCCCAGTAAGTGTATATTGATTACTTTGTGTGAAAGTTATAGCGTCTACAAACTATGGTACAGATACTGCAATTTATGCCATTTTTTGGCTATACAGCGCTGCACTAGTTTAACTGAAAATTGCACGGTCATGTACTTTGGTACATAAATGAAATGTATTTCCTTTTTTTCACACAAATAGAGTTTTCTTTTGGTGGTATTTGATCACCTGTGCACTTTTTATTTTTGGCGCTATAAACAAAAAAGTTTTGAGAAATTTTTTTTTTTTTTTAAAAACGATATTTTCTCATTTCTGTCATAAAAATATCCAAAAAAACTAAAATTTCATCATAAACTTAGGCCAAAATGTATTCTGCTACATGTTTTTGGTTAAAAAAAATCTCAATAAGTGTATATTTATTGCTTTGTGCGAAAGTTTTAGCATAGATAATGGAATTTACACAGCTTTTACTTTGACTGCCCATCACATTTCTGGAGGTGCTAAAATACCAGGACAGTACAAACACCCCCAAATGACCCCTTTTCGGAAAGTAGACATCCTAAGCTATCTGCTGAGAGGCATATTGAGTCCATGGAAGATTTATTTTTTTCCACAAGTTTCTGGAAAATGACAAAAACGTTTTTGTTGAGCGTTTTTCCCGTATGTGCTTGTTGTTTACAGCTTCCAATAAATGAAATCATGTTATGGTCACTGCTACCCAGATGTACTTTTTATATGGACATTAGTAATAAGCTCTGCATGCTTTGAGATTACCAGGCCCAGCAGAGCTTTATTCCTAGTTGGGGCCTCTATGAACACCTGTACCATTAAATTTTCTTGTAATAGGTATATAAATGTTGGCCCTTTAACTGCCCAGCAGTGCCATTATTCAAGTCAATTTTTGGGTAGTTAAAATCCCCCCTTGTTTTCACAGACACAGCCCTTGCAGCACTTTTGATCTGTGCAAGGAGCCGAGTCTCCACCCCCTCATTAACACTGGGTGGCCTATAACAAACTCCAATGATTACCATTGTAGTGCATACACCCAAGTGTAGTTCAACCCATAATGCTTCAGCCTCATCACACTCTCCATCAATCAGGTCCTCCTTCATGCACACTTTGAGATCACTTATCACAAACAGAGACCACCACCTTTCCTTTTTACGGTCTCTCCAAAAGGGCATAGCCAGGAATATTAATTGCCCAGTCTGTCTTTAGAAGTCTGTTATTTTTCAACTTGCTTTAGCAGACCAACCTGTCCAGAAAAGAAGCCATTGGAGGGTTGAGACAAACCATTTACCACTAGCAATGATGTTTACAATGGCCAGCTTTTATACATTTATGTAAAGTCTTTATCCCAAAAGGAAAAAAAAAAAACTGATGTAACTGCTTATAAAGTGTTAGCTGGAGCTCAGCTTTAGTTTGTTAGTGAAGGACATCTAAATCTGCTAATCTAACACTACCCTCCTCCCAGATTGCCAGTGCTGCTGTCCAAAAGTGTCTGCTTTACTACTTCATCCAGAATGCAGGCACCCTAAGAAAGGAAATGTTACTGGCTGGATCACCAGGTGAAATAACGGAACAAATCATAAAAAAGAAAACTAATGCAGCCACCGCATCACACTGGTAAGATTAAATATATTACATTTTTATTTTTGGGTTTAGCACCACTTTAAGGCAGATTGTTAAACTGTGATGTGTTTGGCCAGCTTTAGAAGAACACATGCGGTTTTTAGCTTAGGTAACTATGTAACAGTATGCAACTATACAGTATAAAGCTAGGATCACACTATCACAGTTTTGTTGTGGCCGCACAGCAGCCCATTCAATTGAATAGAATGCTGTACCTATGGCAAATGCAGGGTACCTTATCAAAAACTGCAGCGCCAGGGAAACTACATAATGCTTTGCAGTTCCCAACAGAAGAAAATGCTCTGTGGCTTCCAGGGGTGCCATTAGGAATTAAAATTTTGATGGTGGTGTAGGCCATCCCCTAAACTACATTTACCAAGTTCCTTCTCAGAGGATTGCATTGCCAGAGGATGGATTTTTAAAGTGGCCAAAAAGTAAGTCACTTCCTGAGAAAAAGACAGTGGTGAGGGACAGGGCTTGACAAGGCATGCCTCTGTATTTTCTTTAAAGACACAACACTGCAATCTCCCCATTCAACTTTCACAGGGACATAGATTTATAGTTCAGCCATAATTCTCTCGAAGGATGGGTGACAACACTGGGGAATAATCAGAGACCATGTTTCATTATCGTCATCTATCCAAAGAAAATATGGCCATAACACTGTTTCAGGCAGGTTCACCAACTTGTCAGGTTATTTGCAAGTCACGGGATGGATGAAAAGCTTTTGACCTGGATAAGTCAAGGGGGTGATGCAACATTACACAGAATACACATTTTTAATTAGCCCAGCATTAGATGTTAATTCAATATACAGTTAGGGTCATGAAAACTCAACTGACAAATATTTTTCCTTTTTTTTTTGCTAAACACTGTACGTAGTACATGAAAATGCAATATATAAACATTATGGACTTTCTCTTTATTTACATTTAGTTAGTTTCCATTAATGGGAAGACGTATATAAAATCTACGGTAATTAGCATTGTCTTTTTGTCTAGTAAAAGTCAAGGAATGCATATTTATGTCTGAGGGCCAGGCAAGAACACCAGTAATTACATAAAGTAGATACAGTATGTCTGACTCTTCAAAAGTAATATTAACAGCTGCTAATTTTTAATTCTTTATGAAGTAAAATATTATAAATAATAACAATAAAAATAGTAACAAAAACACTAAAAGCCAAGTTCTCTTTTGCCAAAAAATAAATGCACATATTTTTTCAGAAAAATGTGCATTTATTTCTTCGTACAGGAGCCTGCACCCACAATCGGTGGATCACAGGTTCAATGTCAGGTTCCTGTACACACTCCCGCAAGCTTTCTAATTGTACCTCTGTATGGTCTTTCAGTTAAAAAGTTAGAAAAAGAAGGAATGGACTATGAGGGTGCTGATCAGCACACTTGTAGCACATTGAGAACTACAAGTTTACTCATTAACAGATTCCTGTGAAGGAATAATGTGGCTCTGCAAGCAAAGCCCTGCACAGTTGTGCTGATTTTAAATGTGACAGCGGCTGCAGGGAACAGAAACCCCTACCCGCTGTCACAGGGAAGGGGATAAAGGGGGTGAGAGGGGCAGAAACTGGAACATGTTACACGTTAGATGTTACAGGTGTAACATATAACATGTCCCTTAAGGTGAACTTATCTTTTAAAGTTCTCACAGTTTTTAATTTTCAGAAAACAAGGCATACAACTATAACCAAACCAAAATCTTGATATAAATGACAGAGTGTACTTACATGATTTTTTAAGTCAGCCCGAGATCCTGCAAGCAATAATACTCGACAGCTTTGGGAATGACCATTTTGGCAAGCAAGGTGGAGAGGTGTGTTACCTGCCTTATGGTGAGAAAAATTTAATAAAGACAAAAAATATTGATTATTGCTAAATGTGATTGTATTGTTAATCAGATCAATAATATGATGATATAAATTTATCAGCTTTTTTTTTTTATCTGTACTGCAGTTTTAGTTAGTGACCAATACAGCAATTGTCAACCAGTGTGTTCTGTCTTATCTCCTGTATAGAGAGGGGAAGTGAAGAGCACAGCCCACACCTCCTCCCAACTCTCTTCTCCTATCTGTACTCCTTTCAGTAACTTAGAAATCTGTGCCAGTCACCCACCTATGTCCTACCAAGCAATGACATCATTGGTTGCTAAGGACATGCCAGGTGCCTGCATAGCTTTCTATGTTGATGACAGGAGCACAGATATGAGCGGGATATTAGAAAGGAGGAGATAGTCGAGAGGAGGTGTGGACTGTGCTCTCTTTCCCTCCTCTCTGTATACAGAAGTTAAGATAGAGTACACTTAGCTTGGGCTGTACATGCTTTGATTACCTCCCACTGTCTCCTTCCGGTACCGCTCTTGTCCCAACAGCAAAAATTGTGGGTGGAGGCAGTAATCAACCCTGGACATTCTCAATCTGAGAGTTCTGTATTATCTCCTGTATACAGTCAGGAGCTGAGTGAGGGGAGAGCACAGCCCACATTTATGCTAGAAGGGGGGATTTTGGGGGAAGGCAAATTATGCTGGGAGGGGGAATTGGAGGGGCTGGATTTGTGGAAGGAGAGGGGAATTGGTAGGAGGAATTGGTGTTAGAATGGGGTGCATGAGGGGGGGGGTGGATAGATAGAGGATTTGCAATCTACAGACTACTGAACTCTCAACAAACGACATGTTAGGGCTTGTTCACACCTGGTGCAGTGTGTTAACTAGTGCGAAATCACGCGTTTTCCCACACCGCACAAACATGTGCTACCCTTTGCAGATGCGTTTGGGTGCCATTAATTCCTAATGGCACCCTCACACATCTAACAAATTTGCATGTGTTTGCACCCACTAAAAAGCAAAGTACCATGCGTTTTTGTGCAGCACAATTTAAAAAATCAAGCCGCCACATTTTTTGTGTGTTTCACACGCATACAGTACTCCATTAAAAAGTACCATGGAAACCTGCAAAAACTCGTGTGCTCCAGTGTACCTCCTGGTGTAAACAAGCCCTCAGACTGGTGTGCCCCAAGATTGTGCACAATTCTAAAGGGTGCCTTGACTGAAAAAACTTTGAAAAACACTGGACTCATAGATGCATATTACTTTTATCTGTCCACACTCAGAACCGCAGACTTCCTGAGCCAATGAAAGAGGCCAGTTAAATCAAATTCAATACGGTAATGTAAAAAAAACAATAATGATTCACAAAGAGCTTGGAACTGAAGATGCACAAAACTACATTATAATAGAAATTACTTCTCCCTAACTAGCAACCATAGGGAATATGGAACACAAAACATATTGCAGAGATAGTTTAACATGAGATAACAGAAAACTGCAATATTAACAAAACAGTTATTCTACAGTGAGGAAAGTGCTATAAAAAACTAACATTCTGTGTAAATATGAGTAATCCAGTTAACAAATGATGTATGTTTTAAAACCATTCTCACCTTGTTCTTGGCAAGCACATTAGCTCCAGCTTTAACAAGTAGTTTGACAGATTGGCTAAATCCATGCCAAGCAGCTTCATGCAGAGCAGTGTTGCCATCCTGAGAGAGATATGACAGCAGATGAATCACTCAAGATCATCTGAAATTACCTTTAGCTGTATCTTTCCACTGCTTCAAGACAAATGGTGACTAGAGGGTTAGTACAAATAGTTTATGTTTGTACAGTAAAACAGCAGACCTCTAATGTGTTCCAGATCGTTTAATAATGTCTCTCCTATGGCAAATGCGCAGCTTAAAATAAGCTCATAAACACAAACTCAATTTAATGAACATAACAGGCAGGATAAATCTGGCATTTTTTTTTAACGCAAGCTACACAAAATGCAATCTGATTGTACAATCTGTGTATACAGTATACTCTATTAGATTTATTAACAGCCACAAGAGTACAAGGGTATAGCTAAACAAGAGATTGGGCTCAATTCAGAAAGTGGTATCTCTCTTAGCGTTTTTCAAAATTTGTTTCACAATTCACTAAAAAACGCTACTAAAAAACAGCATGAGCTATTTTATGAAGTGATGCAGTATTTTAGTAATAAAAGCTAAAGGTATTTTAATGCTGGCGGTAGCCAACATCATTAAAAACCAGTAAACAGCATGGTTGTTAAGGAGCGTACGGCTGCCGCATTCTTAACCACGGCTCATCTGCTGTCAGCAGGATTCCCTTGACAGCAGAATGTAAACAATAGAATTGCCAGCATTTAAATTAAAAAAAAAAAAAAAATGGTGTGGGGTTCTCCCAAAATCCATAGCAGGCCCTTAGCATGCAGCCCGGCAGGAAAGGAAAGGGGGGAGGGAAACGAGCAAGTGCTCCTCTCCCTCCCGAACCATATCAGGCCACATGCCCTCAATATAGGGGGATGCTTTGGTGGAGGGGGGACTCCCACCCACAAGGCACCTTGTCCTTATGTTGATGGGGACAAGGGCCTCTTCCATACAATCCCGGGTGGCAGTTGTGAGAGTCTGCAGGTGGCAGGCTTCTCAGAATCTGGAAGCCTCCTTCACCATGGGGGCCCCCAAATCCCGCCCCCCATGTGAATGAGTATGTATGGATTTACATGGGTACCCCACACTTTTTTTTTTTTAATTGGGCCTGGAATGGACTATGGGGGGGGGGGGGGGGGTGCAGGTTGGGATGTGTTTTTTTTTCTCTTAAATGCCAGTATAACTTTTGTTTATTTTCTGCTGACAGCAGAAGAGTCATGGTTGTTAAGGACGTGGCGGCCACCTGCTCCTTAATATACTGCTATTTACTGGTTATTAAGGACAAGTCGGCAGCCTGCTCCTTAAAAACCAGTTATTTACTGGTTGTTAAGCATGCCTGCAGATGCCGGCTCATTGACAGCCAGCTAAAATAAAATACATTCTTTAAATATCGCATGTCTGGACCACATGCATTTATTTATTTAGCTCTTTAAGAGAATTGGCTAACATCGTCTTATGCAGTATTTACTTTTTTTTTGTCTTTTGAGGTAAATACAGCATAAAGGGATAGTAAAATTAAATTTTCAGCATCGCATGCGGTATTTTGAAAAAAGTGTGTCAGATGACCTAAATACTGCATGCAATCTGCTTTAGTGATTTGCGCCCATTGTCTCTAGAAGGTTTGAGATGTAAGATTCTAACCAATTTTGGAGAGTGAAAAATAATTTTAAGAAATGTTTGGTGACTGTAATTACTACTAATAGTTGTAGAACTCAGTATTAAAATTTTTGCGACAAGTATCTCTTTACACATGTTGAATGTTGCTTAACATGCATTGATAGTCCTGGTTGAAATAGGAGCAGTGTAATAGCAGGAGCAGTTAGATTACAGACTGGAAAATAGCTGAGATCTAATGAGGAAAAAATCCAAGGAGTCCCCAGTTTCTTTCCAATTCTTTCAAATTTGTCCCCTGTGGCACTACTGTGTAATTGTAATTTTTCATCTTTTATTTATGTACTAGGTTGGATTTTTTTAAATAAGTAGATTTGTTTGCTACATCAATATCACAAGCGAACTATGGCCCAATTGTTGGGGCCCCATCAGCGAACTGTGGTCAAACAAAAATAAAAACCCTCTTGTTCTTACTTTCAATGCTGTGCTAATAGCATGCAATAAACTTAGCAATGCTTATCTCCCACCCACATTTTGACTGCTGTGTTTAAACAGCATAAGTTTAGCATTTGTAAAGGTTGCAAGAAGATGGGTTGCCAATTAATACTCACATACCAATATTATACGCCCAATACACACAAATTTGCAATCACTGCACAGCAAAGCCAGGATCTCAATTGCAAGACAGTTTCTGTGTCTTCACTCTTGCAAGGTTGTGCTCAGTAAAGCTGGCCATACACTCATAGAATTTATTTCAATGTTTCATTTCAAGAATGCTTGCTTGATTTTCTAATGGTTAGTGGTGTCAAACTGACATTCGTTTTTGACCACAGTAAGGACAACATTTTTCTCAAACAAATTTCTAACAATGTATGTGGTTTTCATTGCGGAAATTCCATTTGTTCCAAAATGAATGTTGAAAGCAAACAAAATTGTGAAGTACTTATGAATTACATTTGTCAAGTCATCAAATGTAGAGACTTTTTGCACAAATTTTTGTATAAATATTTCTACACAAGGGCATAGCATCAGGGGTCACAACTGAGACTCCTCCCATGCTCCAGGGGCCCGTGCTGCCTCCCTATCATATTAACATACCCCCAACTCAACAAAATCCTGCTCAGATTCAGCTCCAGTGCTCAGTCTCCACACCCCCATCATTGGCTTGGGCTCCCCATTCAGCTACATTACGAAGTTCTGCCCACAGCCACTAGCATACTTGCCAACAGTCCTGTTTTTCAGTCATTTGTCCCGCCCACCACTGTGTCCCGAAAATAGAGAACTGCTCTGTCAATTTCCTAGCTTCAATGGTTCCTTACCCTCAATCCACCCCTCATCTATTTTCCCGGCTTTTTACCCCAATCTGACACTGCTTACATTACCCACCCTCCCTCCACACAAAGCCTTATGTCAGCAAAGCAGCCTCCCAACCCCAGCCAGTGTTCTTTGAGACACCACTAGTCAGCCTGGAAAGTCAACTAATACAAAGTTGTCTGTGTTCTGCACAGTGCTCCTTGTTGTGTGCTGAGGAAGTGCAGAAGATCAGCTCCTTGAGCTCGAAGCAATTTAGTTGCTGGAACCGGTAACACTACTACTGCTTACTGCTCCTTGAATGGAGGGCTGCTGACAGCTCTGCTATTGTGTCAGTACATCTCCATACAAGCTGCTTCATGAAACAGGTGCAGGGTAACACAGAGGGACCAATTACACAGATACAAAAAAAAAAAAACCTCCTATCCCACATTTCAGTAGCACAGTCTGTGCAGGGAGTGACATCACTGAAGACAGCATGGTGGAACACAGGGCAGGCTCTGAGTGCACAGACTTTACAGGCAAAGTAGTTGCACTAAAGGACTTTTCCTTATTTCCTCTAGTCACAGCACCCTCCTCCATCCCTTCATGGTCTCTGTGCTTCCACACCACCTAACCTTCCAGGTTATAGCATTCCACCTATCCTACCCACCTAACCCCCCACCCCCATTCCGGATAAAGCATCTTATACAAGCCTCAGTCTCTTCTCCCTGTGCAAAGCACCTTCGCCCTCCTTCATGACCACAGAAAGGTAACCCCCTGCTTCATTACATTGCCTTTCTGGTATTCCCCTGACCCCAGGCACAATGCCTTCATATGACACCCCCCCCCCCCCAGTATTAGTGACTCCCTGCCACTATCCTCACCTCCAAGGTCACAACCCCCCTCCCCCCATACCACTCCATGTGAAAGATCTGTAAGCATTCTAATGTAAGTGCCACATGATCTCATGCATCTGGCAAATTCATTAATTACAGTCAGGTCCATAAATATTGGGACATCGACACAATTCTAACATTTTTGGCTCTATACACCACCACAATGGATTTGAAATGAAACGAGCAAGATGTGCTTTAACTGCAGACTGTCAGCTTTAATTTGAGGGTATTTACATTCAAATCAGGTGAACGGTGTAGGAATTACAACAGTTTGCATATGTGCCTCCCACTTATTAAGGGACCAAAAGTAATGGGACAATTGGCTTCTCAGCCGTTCCATGGCCAGGTGTGTGTTATTTCCTCATTTATCCCAATTACAATGAGCAGATAAAAGGTCCAGAGTTCATTTCAAGTGTGCTATTTGCATTTGGAATCTGTTGCTGTCAACTCTCAAGATGAGATCCAAAGAGCTGTCACTATCAGTGAAGCAAGCCATCATTAGGCTCAAAAAACAAAACAAACCCATCAGAGAGATAGCAAAAACATTAGGCGTGGCCAAAACAACTGTTTGGAACATTCTTAAAAAGAAGGAACGCACCGGTGAGCTCAGCAACACCAAAAGACCCGGAAGACCACAGAAAACAACTGTGGTGGAAGACCGAAGAATTCTTTCCCTGGTGAAGAAAACACCCTTCACAACAGTTGGCCAGATCAAGAACACTCTCCAGGAGGTAGGTGTATGTGTGTCAAAGTCAATAATCAAGAGAAGACTTCACCAGAGTGAATACAGAAGGTTCACCACAAGATGTAAACCATTGGTGAGCCTCAAAAACAGGAAGGCCAGATTAGAGTTTGCCAAACGACATCTAAAAAAGCCTTCAAAGTTCTGGAACAACATCCTATGGACAGATGAGACCAAGATCAACTTGTACCAGAGTGATGGGAAGAGAGAGTATGGAGAAGGAAAGGAACTGCTCATGATCCTAAGCATACCACCTCATCAGTGAAGCATGGTGGTGGTAGTGTCATGGCGTGGGCATGTATGGCTGCCAATGGAACTGGTTCTCTTGTATTTATTGATGATGTGACTGCTGACAAAAGCAGCAGGATGAATTCTGAAGTGTTTCGGGCAATATTATCTGCTCATATTCAGCCAAATGCTTCAGAACTCATTGGACGCCGCTTCACAGTGCAGATGGACAATGACCCAAAGCATACTGCAAAAGCAACCAAAGAGTTTTTTAAGGGAAAGAA